ATTCTACTTAAGAACTAATTTAAGGAAGAAAGACCAGATGAAGAATGGTATGGCACAGCATCAAGAGTACTCTTAAGGCTTTACTGAGCTCTAGAACACACACACAAAACAGCACATGAATCTCTAGCATGTTATTCCCAACCTCTCCTTTATTTATATTGACTGGAGCTCGGGTTTATACAGTAGTAGAACTATCCCCCCCAGATTAAAATATGACTCAACTGTGGCATAACAGTGGCCTTATGCCATACAGAAAGTAATTTATGCTCTATCTGAAGTCATTTCATCAACCCTTGGGACAATGGCTAACGAGACCGGGAAGATGGTTTATTAGACCCTCTTTCCATTAGGTCAAAGTCTGAGAAACTGCTTATTTCCCAGGGCAGGATGATTTGTGCAGATTATGTCTGCAGATGTATTTGCAAACACTGCACGAGATGTAAATTGTCTGAATTTGCCCTTTATATCAAGCAGGCATTTTGTTTATTCCCTTACCACCGTAAGTCAGATGATTTGGGGCGCAGGCTTTGTTTCTTGGCTTACTGGGACACCTAAAAACATGCATCTTTATTCTTCATGCTAAATCACTGACAAGGCAAACAAACCAAACCACTCCCTAAAAGAACGTGGTGTTCTATCCCTTCTGAGGAATACTAAGCTTTATTAAAATTGCTGGGCTATTCTGCATTCCCCAGTTAACAAACTGGCCATGGATGTAGCAGCAGAACAAAGAGCAGGGGCCAGGATCTCCCACCTCAATTAGCACCTAAAATCACTGCCAGAGCAGCAGAGCTGCCCAGTGCTTGTCTAGCCCAGGACAAGACATCTGAGAGGGGCCACCCAAGAGTCAGATTGGAGGAGGCAGACCCTAATCCCTCCTGTTGATGAGTTCTCAATACTTCCAAGCTCTTAGAGCAGCATCCAGATCCTGTGTCCTAGAGAGGTTCTCCCTGCTTTCCCTGCTCCCTGACAAACTGCCTGTGACACATCTCTCAGCCAGCACGTTCATCTTGATCCATTATTGACAGAGCCATCTGATTAATGAGCAGATTCTCCTCCTTGTTGTTTCATGAGAAAGCAGCAGCATAGATTTTTAATTCTTCAAATCACTCAGGCCCTGGCAGGCTGATGGGAAGTCAGCAGAGGACAGTCAGGGGTTATAGTTTTGTTTGGATTCGTTCTAGTTTTTAAAAAACATTTGGGTCTTCACGTGCAGAGGCTGTGAACTGTGGTGTGTGAACTCTCTCAGGACAGTGCACGCAGGAAACCTGGGACAGATGCCCAAACACGGGTTTCTTTCCAAGGGAATGGATACACTTGGCTGATAACCCACCGTGCCTGCAGATCAGTGAGATGAATGCTGGAGCAGGTCTCTCTCTCTCAGCTGACCCCAGAGCAATGCTCAGCTATATCCTTCAAGCAGCTGTCATTCACACAAACCCCTGTGGCCACTGAAACAGCTGCATTAGAACATGGGCTTCCCTGTGATCTAATTATGCAGCAAGGGTAAGCACTGACAATACTGAGCATTGACTTCTTATTTATCGTCAGGAGAAGATGTAAAAAACCCCTTGACAAATGTGTTCATTTTGTGTCCTACTCTGAGCTCCACAGAAGCACGAAGACCTTATTTCAGACAGTAAAACATGGGAATTATCCTGTCCAGCCCTGGGCCTCTTCCTGTAGACATACAGCTGCAATAAGCTGGCCCTGCTGAGCTTTATTGAATGTTACACATTTTAGGCAGTGCTGGGAGCTATAGATTTTATCTTGGCTAGATATTTAACTCCCCCTTAAAATGAAAAATAGCTTTAAGAAGCCAGAGCAGCATTTCATTCCTTAAAAATGTAATTCAGCAGGCTCAAACTCCAAGTATAAAGTGACTGAAGGTGATTTAAATAAAAAATAATCTACCAGTGACCTAAAAGACAAACCAAGATGTGAGGGAAAAGGACTAGTTATTAAAGTGCCAGACTGTACTCTCCTCCAAGGAGCATGACCTTGATTAAGCAGCAGTAACACAGTCCACTCACCCAAGTAATGGGGAGAATATAGTCCAGGCTCCTAAAACCACTATGAAAGTATTAAGGTTTTCCACTGGGGATCCAAGATGTGTTAAAAGCACTTGACTGAACAGTACATCTCATAGAGTGTGCAGATACTGCATTCCTCCCCCCATGAGTGTGCTGCCCCTCATGCACAGCTTGCCCACACTCTTTTGAAAGCTCAGCCCTCAGCATCTGACCAGAATGAGCTTATTAAGCCATCAGCAAAGGCTTTAAAACTTAAGAGCTGACTGGCTTTCTTCTAATGCCCCTTTCTGCCTGTACCTGCCTGGGCCAGGAGCATCTGTCCAGCCATAACCTGCACATCAGAAATTCATCTGCAGCCATTTATCTTCCAAGATTCCTTACACCAGAGGAGACCCAATGAGGTACAACCAAATACTCGACAACCTTGCAAACACAGCTGATGTGTTCCTTCCTGCAGGGACGAGGTGCTGCAGGAGTGATGGAAGAGCAATGCTGCCATCTGTGGACACCCGGAATTGCAGCCTCCTGCCTCGGGAGGATCCTGGAGTACAGCCCGTGTATCCTACAGTTATCTCCAAATGCAACTGTGTGGAACACTGATGAATATATGAGAATTATCCTGAAGTCTGCCATTGGTAGGAGGTGATCACTGCTACTGAACTGTTTGCCTGGTGATAGAGAAGGTCAGGATTATGTGATTCACAGAAGGACTTTTACACAAAGAAGTACGATTTTTCATGCACTTATACTATAAACATGGAGGATGGAGACCCTCTTCCTTCCGTGAAGATGTTTTAATCCATGTGCAAAAGCACACCTTGAGCAATATAAAATAATCAAACACAGCATAATTAACAGAATGACACTCAGACATTTTATTGGGTCAGAAAAAGGCTGGGAGGTGCTTTAGGACACATTCACAGATGGGCTACAGGTCTGTTCATCTACCAGTGCAGACTCATCACACTGCAGTATAGCTCATCAAGAGAGACTGAAAGAAGTTTTTAAAGTTTATATTCAGGGAAAGTACATGGTACAGGGAGAAGAGGGGTAGGGCAAGAGACCCAGCATCCTTGTCACAAAGCAAACCAATAAATGAACCTCTCTTACTACTTAATGACTACATGTGAAGGTTATTTTGGTCTAATTACATTGGTTAAGTTACCTCTTAGGTTAGTTCATATCTGAAATATTTTCTAGCACTAACTAGCTTTTTGGAAAGCACACAGAGATAAAGCACTTCTTACTTTCAAAGCTCCCTATGACAATGATGTCAGCTCAGCATCCCTGTGAGGTAGGCAAAAATCAGCTGTTTTCTGAGACACAGAGAAGTTAAATGACTTCCTCAAAGCCAGGGTGAAGAATGTGTCAGTTATTATAATATCCTTAAGAACCTGGAATGATACTGTTTTTCACAGACAGAGAATTGGAGGCAAGCAGCATCTGCTAGGTAAGGAATTACCAAATTTTCATCTCATTTTTATTATTAAAATACTTTGAATCCCCCCCCACCTTGAGAAGTGTTCCACAGACACGTATATGGACTAATGAGCTGTTTCATCTGAGTAACAAAAAGCACTGGTCCTTTCCAGCAGTAAGCAGACATCCCACCCAGGAAAGGGTAGCTAAGATACCACTAGAGTTACATAGTGTATGATCATATCCCAGATCTTACAACCAATACAATTATGGTTATCAAAGACATGAGCCAAGTGTTAGTTACTTTATGGAATTCAGCTTAAGTACTCTAGTTTTTGTCAAAGGAGTAGGAAAAAAGATAACTAAAAAATAACTTTTAAACTGATAGCTATTCAAAACCAAGCTGTCATAAAATAAAGCACACAACTGCTACAAAGGGCAGGATTAACTTAATAAACCTACATATCCCCATTGCAAGGTTAACAGGTTCATCAGCTCAGCCCTTAGACCTAGAAAAGCTTTTGGTTTGCAGAAAAGTGAAGTGGGTATTGGAGCCAGGGTCTTCTTCATTCTGTAGGTCCACAAAGAAGCAACAGGAGAAACTCTGTTGTGTATGTCTGTATTGAAAACAGTTTCCAAAACCTTCTGGATATGCCCCTCCATCCACCTGAGCTGAACTTCTACAGTTTCTCCTCGTGTTTCTAATCTAAAGCAGTTGCTGAAGTCCATCTCCTCTTGCCTTGTGCCCAGTCAGATTAGAGAGATCATCTGCCCAATTTTAATAAAAGATAAAACCATGGCTCATTCAACAGGCCTGCAAAGAACCTTCCCATTGCCTTCAGCTCAGCTGTAACAGCTGGGTAACACTGAATAACATAAACCCAGTCACTGAACAGCTGGACTGTGTAATCTGGTACCATCAACTCAGCTTTGTACTGAAGTACAACCCACTAAACAGGACACTTGGCTCTTCCAGATCAACACCACGAGGGCATAACTTCCCCAGGACAGATGCAGGGGACCACCCTGTGAGTTTATTGCTACTTTATTGCTCGTGTGTAAAAGCCCTTCAGTCAGCACTAGTTCCAAAGCAAGGCTGTGCTCCAGGCACCAGCAGCTCCAGCTCAACACCTGCCTCTGCTCCTCTGAGCTTTCCATAGCTCCTGCAAACAAACTTCTCACCAAAACCCTGCACACAGGAAATAAGTGTTTTTCCTTCACCACAGAAGAGAATTCCAGTTGCCACTGAGTAACAAAGTATGGATCAAATCCAGCTCTGCACTGGAAGGCACACTTTTTCCCTGCTGTGTTTGGCATGTTTTTCGCAGAGCTGAAAAACTGCTGAAATATTCAGTTCTCCAAAGGGCCACATGGACAGCAAGTGGCAAGAGCTGCAGGAGAAAACAAAGCAACACTGTAAGGAATAGAGGGGGGAAAAGGGGTGGAGAACATCCTTTCAGAGCTCACTTAATTGTGATTCAGTGACACAAACTCTGGACTCCGTTAGGAAAAATCTTGCTAACGAAATTGGTTTCTTCCTCTTTCCAGTCCTAATTTTCTAACCCTGTATATTTCTCCTTTGCTAAACTGGGCTTCTTAGAGTAAGACATACTCTGGGCATCTAAATAAACCAAGAAAAACAAATGAAAAAAAAAAACTCCACACCTTTTTTAAACCAAAAATTTGTTCTTCCACCCAGGTATCCACTAATCCACAGCCATTCAGAGACAGCTCCCCTTTAACTCCAAAACTGCCATTTCTAAGCAAATGCAAAAATGGAAACCACTCGTTTTTCTACCCATTGAGGGCTTTCCAGTTGCATGGTTTGCATTTGCAGCTTCAGCTTTTGTGGTAGAACACAGATTCACTGGTTTTGGCTCAAAATTTGTGCAGTGGCCTAATCATGCTCCATTTTAGCACCAAGTTCCACAGAGATTTGCAACTATGACATTTCTAGACTATAAGGAACAAGCAACAGCTAATGAATCTAGTGCATTTCAGGGGGCTTGGAAATGAAAGCTCAATATTTGGCTAGGAAAAACAAAAAAAATTAAAACATACAACAGATGAACTATGTTGACAAGAGAGTGAAGTAATAGCACCTGTGTTGTTATGATGCTCAACATTTGGCAGTGTTTTCTCTTGACCACAAAGGAGCCACTGGACTCCCTGACCATGGTAAGAAAAGAAGTGATAAGAGCAATCACTGTGCTTGTGAAGTGAACAGAGAGTTTGACTTGAGGCTCCAGCTTTCATTGAGCTGACAGTGAAAAAATTCAGTGGCAGAAGGATAAGGTTTTTTAAACATTCCTGCACCTCATGTCACCTTGCTCCCCCTGAGGCAAAGCCACACAGTTCATCCCTTTTGAAGAACTGACAAATCAGTTTTTTACAGTCTGCTGTACAAGCTGACCAGGACTAGAGATGATAACATTCACAACGAACAGTGTGAGACAGTCTTTCCGTCCTCCCCACTGTCCATAACGGGTCATTTACCCCCCAAAACCCCAAATTAACTGGCATGAATACTGGATCGTGAGGCCTGGCTCTACAGGTGGTGTCACAGCTTGGGCAGAGCCCCAGCTGGTGCCAGTGTGATGCCAAACACATAGAAGAGCCCCAGGAGGAGGTTGAGCTTGGCTGTCCGCTGAGGGATTTTGTTGAAGCTGCGGCTGCGGAACTGTCTCTCCAGCGAGAAGGCCATGGGGATGGTGAGCAGGGGCAGGGCCATGCTGATGGTGTAGCGTGTGGCCAGCACACAGAAGATCAGGTAGGGCAGGAAGAGCAGGACGGTGTAGAGGATGTAGGAGAAGGTGGGGCCGATGAGGATGGCCAGGGTGACGATGCCCGCCTGCCGGTCCGACTCCATGTCGCGCGTGTTGTTGCTGTGCAGGATGGCCTCGGTGCTGAGGGCCAGGGGCACGGCGTAGAGCAGGGGGGACACCGACAGGTACCCCACCTGCACCGCGTGGGCGAACATGACGGCCAGCGGCCCGAAGGTGATCAGGATCACCACGTCCCCCAGGGCAACGTACTTAAATCCAATCCCTGTGGCAAGACACAAGAAAAGGAAGCATCACCAAACAACTCCAGTCTGACAGAAGAGAACGAATGACACGACGGATCAGCCCTTTCCCACGGGAATATGGCAAAACAACCAATGCACATGCAGATATGGACAAGAAGCATATTATCCCTTTTTTTCAAAGATAATGGAGGAAATGCAGCTTCTGGATTTCTCCGGTTAAACAGTGTAACAGAAACTAACGACCAAAATGAAGCATCGCCGAACATCTCTAATTTGACAGAAGATAATGATTGACACAACAGATCAGCCCTTTCCCATGGGAATACTGCAAAACAAGCAATGCACATGCAGCTATGGATAAGAAGCATATTCCTGTATCAGGAATGGTGTGGCCAGCAGGACCAGGGAAGTGATTCTTTCCCTGTACTTGGCACTAGTTAGGCCACACCTTGAGTGCTGTGTCCAGTTCTGGGCTCCTCAATTTAGGAAGGATATTGAGGTGCTGGAGCACGTCCAAAGAAGGGCAATGAGGCTGGTGAAGGGTCTGGAGCACAAGTCCTGTGAGGAGCAGCTGAAGGAGCTGGGGGGGCTCAGCCTGGAGAGGAGGAGGCTCAGGGGACACCTTATTGCTCTCTACAACTCCCTGACAGGAGGGTGTAGCCAGGTGGGGGTCGGTCTCTTCTCCCAGACAACCAGCAGCAGGACAAGAAGGCACAGCCTTAAGCTGCACCACGGGAGGTTTAGGTTGGACATCAGGAAGAAATTCTTTCCAGAGAGAGTGATTAGACATTAGAATGGGCTGCCCAGAGAGGTGGTGGAGTCACCATCCCTGGAGGTGTTTAAGAAGAGATTGGATGTGGCATCAGTGCCATGGTTTGGGTGACAAGGTGGTGTTGGGTCAAAGGTTGGACTTGATGATCTCAGAGGTCTTTTCCAACCTGGTTGATTCTGGGATAGTAAGGACCAGGTTCTAATATCCATCCTCATATCTATTTCTACTAAGTACCTATTTCTGCAGAAATCCCTACAAATAAGGTACTCTTCAGTGTGATTGTGCATACCAGACCCCAATCCTGAAAAAAGATATAAAATTCTCAGAACAAAATGCAAAACTGACAAGATTCTTTCTGAGAAACCAACATAGCTAAATGTCTGACAGTTTGAAACCGAGTTGGTTTTTCTTCTCCTAGTAATGATGTTTGTATATATCCAACACAGGAAGGCACTAAAATTATCCTCCTCTCATTAAGAACAAACATAAACTGTTCAGCATTCGCAATGAAGCTCCAAGTACAGAATAACAACGAGACATTCCAAAACAAAGTAACAATTCCACCAAAGAATATAAGGTGTGAGGTACCCTGCTAAGGAATAGGAGATAAACATCATAAAAAGATTCAGCAATGGTTCTAATAAGCACTTAAAGCCATATATGTAAATAACAATGTTTCAACACCACTTTCCAACTGAAGAACTAAGGTGACTCTTCCCACAACAATCAACTGGAAAGAATACAAGTTTATGTACCCGTACTCCAGGAAACACCACCAAATACTTTTACGGCAGTACACCACATAGATAATTTGCATCTTCTAGAAACCTTGGACAATTCAGCTAATTCTATCACATTTACATTCAGATTCACAGCAGACGGGACGCAGCACTTACCCCCGGTATAAAGGAAGGAGCTAGAAAGCCCTCCGAAGTAAATCAGCGCCAGGTGCTCCAGCTTGAGGGTGGAGACAGCGTAGAGCCCGGCAGCGCAGATACAGCCCACGGTGTACAGGAACACCCCAAACCGCACCACGTCCTGCGGCTCCAAAATCTGGTCCACCAACGTCCTGTCATCGCTCTTCTTGTGATCGATGCCCTTGGAGAAGTCGTAGTAGGTGTTCACCAGGTTGCCGGCGCCGTGCACGGCCAGGACGGTCACGGCGCTCCCCAGGAGCAGCCCCGGGTCCAGCGCTCCCTCGGCGCGGTAGGCGAGCGCGCTGCCCAGCGCCACGGGGGTCAGCGAGGCGCTGAAGCTCCACGGCCGCAGGGCCAGCACATAGGCCGCGCATTTGTGCCTCCAGCCGCCGGGAGCGGCCCCCTCAGCGCCCGCCAGCGCCGAGCCGCCGCCGTTCCTCTCGCTCCCGCGGGGGCTCTCGGCGCTGATGCTGATCTTCTGCACCGGCTCCGCCGGCCCCATGCTCGCCCCGCCGGCTCGCAGCAGCAGCAGCACCTAGAAAGGGAAGGGCCGCGCGTTATCGGGGCGGCGGAGCCCGGGGGGGGCCATGGCGACCTGACGGGGGGAAGCGGGAGCGCCGCCACTACCCGCCTTACCGCCGGCCCGCCCCGCCTCGTCGCCCCCGCGCGAGGGGTTCCGCCCCGGCCGGCACCTCCCGGCGTACACAGATTGAATGGAAAAATTAATCGGCCCGCGGCGTCACGCGCGGCGGCGAGGGGGTCACCCCGCGGCACGCGCCGGCACCGGGATTGGAGGAGTCATCGCGGGCACAGAGTGCCCGCAGCCGCCGCGGCCGCTCCCGGGGCTGTCACGGGCGGCCGGACACATTTCGACGGCGCGCCGCTCCCTGCGCGCATGCGCAGACCGCAGCCACACCCCGGGCGTGGGGCGGGCGCGGAGGGACCGCAAAGATCATTTAAATTCCCACCCCTGCCCCGGGCGGGGACACCTTCCAGGGACCGGGGGGCTCCGAGCCCACTCCAACCTGGCCTTGGGCACTTTTCCAGAGATGGGGCAGTCACAGCTGCTCTGGGCAACCTGAGCTAGGGCCTCACCACCCTCACGGCGAAAAATGTTTTTCTGATATCTAATCTAAATTTTCCCTCTTTCAGCCTTAGCGCGTTCCCCTTTGTCCTGTCACTCCGGTTGCTGAGGAAAGGTCCCTGTCTGGCCTCCTTGTCCCCTTCAGGCTCCGTAAGGCTGCCCTAAGGTCTCCACACAACCTTCCGTTCCTTCCATAGGGGAGGTGCTCCAGTTCCCATCTCTTCCCTCCAGTGTCTGACGGCACCACACAGCTCGGTGTCACTTGCTGACGGTGCCTCAGTCAAACCGTCCATGTCGCCGACAAAGCTGCTGAGCAGCATCGGCCCCACACGACCCCCGAGGGATCTCTGTCCTCACTGATCTCCACGTGGACAATGAGCCGCTGACCGCAGTGCGGCCGAGCAGCCAGTTCTTTATCCATCCGTCTAATCCCTGCCCGTGAAGCGCAGAGCCCGGGACGGCGGCGTGTGGGCTGTGCGGACAGCGCCGAACGCCCCGCACCAGCCGGTGCAGACGCTGCCGGCGACCCCGCACACCCCCCGCGCTGCAGCCCCGCCATGGCGGGCACCGCAAGGAAGGGCGGAAGCCGGCGTCTGGGGGGTGGGCCTAGAGAGCCAGCGCAGCCTTTCTATTTGTCGCAACTACTGCCACTCACT